GATACGGGAGACCTAGAGAGAAGAGCAAGAGAGAGAATGGAGAGGATAAGAATTGGAGCTGGAGAGGATAGATGTACAAGAGACGACGAGGTTCGAGAGCCAAGAGAGCAGATGAGGAGAGAGGAGCGCGAGAGCTGAGTACGCGAGAGGGAAGAGAGATGATGACGAGAGAGAGAGAGAGTGTAAGTGAAGATAGATGTTGCGAACGAGAGAAACGAGAAGAGAGAGAGAGAAGAAATGAGATAGAGCGAGAGAGAGGTGATAGATGCGATAGAGAGGAGAGAGAGATATGAAGCTGCCGACGAATTAGCGAGAGAAAGAAAGAAAGAAAAGGACGAGAGAGAGCAGATGAGAGAGAGAGAGTTAAAGCTGGAGAGGAGAGAGAGAGGAAGCGAGAAGAAGAGAGAAAGCAGCCAACGAAGGGACAGAGGAAGAGAGCAGAGAAAGAGAGGGAGAGACGTGAGAGAAGAAGGAGAGAGAAAAAATCGCAGAGAGAGAGATCCTTAGAGGCGATAAGCGAGGACATGTGGCACGGCTAAGAGCCTATTCGAGCTTTTCGTGGGCGCAAGTGCTTACCGCCAACCGTAGGCCCGAGCGCAAGAGCGCCGCCAAAGCCAAGCTTACGAAATAGAAAGAAACTAGAGGCCTGCCGGATTCATCATCTCGACGACAACTCAACGTGCACCTTGAAATTCCGGGATAGGTTGACGATTGTGTCATGGTCTACCACCCCGCAAGACGGATCAGGACCATAGTTCTTGAACCAACGCCGGCTATGGCGCACTGTTAGTAGTAGTATACCTATTCGTCTTACCCTTTATTACACATCAGGGCCCGTAAGCCAGCTTCTATTGGGGGGGGGGGTTCGTTTTTGAATGTTGCATTTTGTTCGGTGTCGCGTTAGTCTGCAGTCTATCATAAGCGATCGTGAAGCATAAGCGCCCGAGCTCGGGGGAGGTGTGTAGGGGCCTCCGGGGGGAACCCCTCTCGTTTCACACGGAAGGATAGCTGAGGACTGAATACCCTGACGATCGAGAACCGATCGAGATATTTTTTACAAATGGAGCTCGATCTGGTGCTGGTACCTGAGCGTTTGAAATTCGTGCAAATTTTTTTTATCGTAAAACATTTTGGTTTTTTGGTCGGGGGAGGGGGGGGGGGGGGTTCGTTGCAACACCCCCACCATACTATGCTGTGTGTGTGTGTGGTGTGTGTGTGTGCTGTGTGTGTGTGTGTGTGTGTGTGTGCTCGCTCGTCGTGTGTGTGTATGTTGATGTGTGTGTGTGTGTAGTGTGTGTAGATGTCGCTCGCTCGCTGTGTGTTGTGCTGTGTGTGTGGTGTGTGGTGATCGCTCGCTGGTGTGTGTGTGTTCGTGTGTCGATGTGTGTGTGTGTGTGTGGTGTGGTGTGGGGAAGAGGGGGGAATGTGAGAGTGAGAGATATGACCAAGTGGGTGAATTGGAACATCTTTTAGACAACGGAGTGTTACGAGTTTAGAAAACAGACTATACATTTTTACACATACATATAACTTAAGTGCAACTTCATGCCTAATCTCCTTCTCAGTAATAATATCGTTATGTACGCGTGACAACCGCTTCACTATCTCCATTTACCTAGCCATCAGAGCGCTCAATACATGACATCAATTCTACGCTATTAGCGATGAACCACATCTTACAAGATGAAATACAATATAGATATAGATATACAATGTATAGATGTGTTCACTGTTTACATCCAACGATAGCCAAAATAACCTTCATATTTTTTTTTCTATAAATATCTCAATATCACAGTACACAACATAACACTTATTTAATACGCGACTAGAGAAACGTAATGTCAGTGCAAACGTGGGTGGGGGGAGGGGCATTAATTAGTACTAATTATTGACTTGCTTCCTGCATCGACTTGCCTCCTCATCCCACTGCACGAAAATCGTTACTACGCAGTTACCTACAGGTATGGGGGCGTATGGACAGAAGAGTACAGTATACAAGTATCATCTGTGTACAGAGTAGAGTATACAAGTCTCATCTGTGTACAGAGTACAGTATACAAGTCTCATCTGTGTACAGAGTACAGTATACAAGTCTCATCTGTGTACAAAGTACAGTATACAAGTCTCATCTGTGTACAGCCCACCCACGCGAGTCCCATGTGGTCGCAACAAGTCACAAAGTGAACAGCACGACAAATAAATTAACAACTCGACAATCAAATCAACGGGTCCTACCTAAGCTCGGGAAATCTCGTCAGAAGTCGATTATGTACACATATCTAATCAGGAGTGTATAATATCGATATATTACATATTATATAGATATATTATATATTAGATATAATATAGATATATTAGGAGTCTATATTATACACTCCTGATCTATTCATGTTGCGTGCGTTGCTATCAGATTCATGATCGCGGTCATACGTAGTCTAGACCCTGACAGACAGCACCCACTATGACCACAGCCGTTCGATATCTTGTCGCGACGATGGACGAACGAACACGGCGCGTATAAATTCACTAATTAAACCTCGACTGATTAAGCGGCGAGTAGCGTTAATTGGAGTGGCGCACCGCATGGATCGAGTCATGCGTGGCCGCGCCAGAGGCAGCTCAGTAACGAAGCCAGACTAACCACAATCAAATCGAATCAATGGTCTTTCTAATCATGTCACATCCACATCTATGACCTATATATAGCTACGCCTTACCACCAGCTGCCTATCATTTCAACTGCCTAACCTGACAGTAATCGAATGGAATGTTTTCATGGCTCCCTAAAGTTGGTACCATATTTAAATGACTTCTCACTAATTGTGTCTAATCAAACTTGACCGTAAATCGAATGTTGTCATGGCTCCCTAAAGTTGGTACCACATTTAAAAAACCTATCACTAATTGTCTCTAATCAAACTGGATTGTAATCGAACGGAATGTTTTCATGGCATCCTAAAGTTGGTTCCACCTCTAAAAACTTCCCATTAATTATACCACAACTCATTTAAATTAAACCTGACCGCAACCGCACTGGAATGTATTTTAAATAGATGTGGATTCCGCAGCACGATTCCATCTCTACACACGATCCCAACCTTCTTTTCCACTGACAACCCAAACTTCCAGCGCGCCCGTACAGACACAGAGCAGTGATGGACACACCAACGATGAAAGAGTAAGCGTTGGCATGCCACCAAGGAATCACCACGGATCGATCACAGTACCGCAGCCTATTGGTTGAGCGATCAATCGGGGGATTACACGAGTGTGAGCACAGACTGATTGTAATCACAGGCTGCGGCAATGCAGAAGAGCGACCAACTCTCCTCCGCGATCCTTCCATCACGTCCGACCTGCCTCCTCCGCATTCACGAGTGTACATTCCAGTTCTTTCCCTCCTCCCGCTCGGCCAACCCCCGGAGGGACCAGCCGTCGACACCAACGCAGCAACCAAAGCAGCGCTGGACTCATGCATTATTCACGCTGCCGCGAGCAACGAGCCGCGATCAATCTTCTTAGATCGGCGGATGAAGAGCTGCGCTATTCCCACGCGATGCTCGCGCTCAACACGTTCCAATTGCGGCGCAGACATGGCGCCGATGAATGATTAATGCGATGGTGATGCTGCGCTTTTGATGTGAAGGGCTTCAGCGGGTCCGATGCTGGCCAGATCGTCCTTGCATGCGAGAGGGAGAGTGGCCGGTGGGATGCAGCCAGGAGAGGTGGGGGGGGGGCACGTGCAAGAGCGAGCGTATCAGTGGGCTGTGATCTTATCATGTGTTCATGATCGCATCGTGGCGGGCACGATCCTACCATGGCATTCGTCGTCGCATCACGGCAAAGATGTCGCATGCCATTGCATACTCGTTGCATGCTGTCGCATACTCGTCGCGTGCTGTGATCACATCATGGCATACGCGATCGCATCATGGCGGTCGGGATCGCATCATGGCGATCGTGATCGCATCATGGCAGTTGTTCATGCATCATGGCGGTCCGCGATCGCATCATGGCGGTCCGCGATCGCATCATGGCGGTCGTGATCGCATCATGGCGGTCGTTCATGCATCATGGCGGTCGTTCACGCATCATGTTATCGTTAACAACGGTAGCAATAACAACGGTTCCTGACGGCTACTCAACCGTAAGCCAGCGAGCAAGTAAGGGCTTGTTGTACAGTAGGCTTGCTAGTAATAGTACGGCTTCTGATAGTATGGAATCTCACAGCGGGCCTTCTGATAACATAGCTTCTCATGACAGGCCTAGTTGTAGTCCCCTCTGTAGCAGGTTTTCTCACCGTGGCGCCTCACTATGTGTGACGTACACTCTCCGCTCGCTACCTCGCTCACGCGCTGCGCCATGTCGAGAAACCCGCTCCTCTTGCACCCCACTCACTTCTTGTCCTTCTTGCCTTTACTGTTTGCTGCAATCACTTTTCCCTTGTCAGGCTGGAAGAGAGCATGAGTGAAATTAGTTCAGCCATAGGAGTGCAGAGATGCCAACACATATTTGAAGCAATCTGTAGTTTCTGGCCATCAAATTAGTAGTTCGAGGGTCACATAATGACCCGAGTTTGCTAGGGGGGTCCGGCAAGGCCCCCCGGAAAAAATTTTGATTCTGAGATGCAATTTCCTGCATTCTGAGGGTCAAAAATGACAATAATTGTCCTTTTTTTTTCTATCACAGTGAAATTCGTAGTTTGATACAAACTGGTCGTAGTGGTGGAAAAGGAATAGAAATTCGTATAAAATACGGATAAATCGTAGTGGTTGGCATCTCTGGGAGTTGAAGTCGTTATGACGTCACGAGTAACTATGCAACAGTTCATCGTGGTAAACTGCAATCAATAACTGGCATACGAAAAACGTTTTTTAAATTATATATATATATAAAAACAAAGTCAAGGTATAGAATAAGGCTGTTTAAACTTTAAACACCCTTATTCTATACCTTGACTTTGTTTTTATCTACACAGGTGTTCGTGTGTGACTTTACTTATATATATATTTATATATATATATACATATACATACATACTATACACAAAACAATAGTCAGTTTCTTAGTGCAAATATATGCATAAATTGAAATCTACACTGCGTTACACAGCTTCTCTCTTAGTTCTGCTTAAGACGAACATGTTAGACATGTGTCCCCTAAAGTGGAGCCTGTGGTAAGTGACAACAAGGAGACGATACCGGCAGTATACTGAAGGAGCAGGTCAGGTCCTCAGACACGATCATGGCGCCCCCTGCATTGTCGAACTCGCCGCAGTAGTTGGGCGCGCTGAACAGCGTCACCAACTGAAGAACAAAAGAACATGCTTTTCATCAAAGGTTTGCGAGGGGTTGCCACCTCAAACAATTGCATCATCGATCGCCAGAGGGCACTGCGAATCCGCTAATCACCACGAATCAATACACACGATGTCGCAGTGAAGCCCTCTGGTGATTAAACGTCAGACCTTTCGGCTTTGCTCGATCTCCCGCTACAGTAACTACTACAGCTCTGTGTACACTGCTGGCTACAACAGGCGCTTTCATTTTAGCCCTAGCTACAACTCAAGCTGCGCTCATAATCCCCCAGCGTGCACTACATCCTTGCACATCCTTTGTGTATTACGATGCAGCCAAGTATAGTATAGTACGGCGGTGGCCCTGTTATATCGATTTCTAAGCAAAATGGCATGGCTGAAGATTAGCCTTTGACCATTGCAGTTATTGATTATGCGATGTACACGGAATTGTAAGTTTCACTTTCTCGCTACCTTGACTCTCTCCCCTGCTCTCTCTCTCTCTCTCTCTCCCCTCCTCTCTCTCTCTCTCTCTCTCTCT